AGGCACACACATGCAGACACACACGGGGCAACACACACATTGAGGCACACACATGCAGACACACACGGGCAACACACATGCAGACACACACATGCAGACACACACATGCAGACACACATATGCAGACACACACGGGCAACACACACATTCAGACACACACATGCAGGCACACACATGCAGACACACACATGCAGACACACACGGGCAACACACATGCAGACACACACATGCAGACACACATATGCAGACACACACGGGCAACACACACATTCAGACACACACATGCAGGCACACACATGCAGACACACACATGCAGACACACACATGCAGACACACACGGGCAACACACACATGCAGACACACACATGCAGACACACACGGGAAACACACACATGCAGACACACACATGCAGACACACATGGGCAACACACACATGCAGACACACACGGGCAACACACACATGCAGAGACACACGGGCAACACACACATGCAGACACACACATGCAGACACACACATGCAGACATACACATGCAGACACACACATGCAGACACACACATACAGACATACACATGCAGACATACACATGCAGACACACACATGCAGACACACACATACAGACATACACATGCAGACACACACATGCAGACACACACATGCAGACACACGCATGCAGACACACACATGCAGACACACGCATGCAGACACACACATGCAGACACACACATGCAGACACACGCATGCAGACACACACATGCAGACACACACATGCAGACACACACATGCAGACACACGCATGCAGACATACACATGCAGACACACACATGCAGACACACGCATGCAGACACACGCATGCAGACACACACATGCAGACACACGCATGCAGACACACACATGCAGACACACACATGCAGACACACGCATGCAGACACACACATGCAGACACACACATGCAGACACACACATGCAGACACACGCATGCAGACACACGCATGCAGACACACACATGCAGACACACACATGCAGACACACGCATGCAGACACACACATGCAGACACACACATGCAGACACACACATGCAGACACACACATGCAGACACACAGGTTTAGTTTTGGATCTGATAGTAGTAAAAGCAAAAAGGACATTATGAAAGTCCCAGAAATGTTCCCTAACTTTTTCTATTGCTTTTATTTTTGAATAATAGGTTACATTCATGTTGACTATTTCAGTTGGAGGACAGGTGTCAATTCTAAACAAGTCTAAAATTCTAAACAAGTCTAAAAAAATCCTTTGTTCTCATAAAGACATTTTGAAAAACAAAATGTCAAAATTTTTCCCCCAATTTATTATTTTATAGTTTATTAGATTCATAAACCTGCCACTTCAATCCTATTTCTGAATTGGCCAACATCATGCATGTTTCTTTTGTTTCACAATTTCTAGACACAATTATAATTTTATTTTTTTATTATTATAGTTGACAGAGAAGATAGTTGACAGTTTGTGTTTCGTGGGAATTGACCCAGAAATTACAGAGAAATAACCCTAGGACTAGTCTGACTAAAACAGACACATCAACTCCATACCATTCCATACCAAATCCACAAATAACCCCAAACCCTATAAAAATCAAATCAGAAAACACAAAAACAGTATTATGAGATTATGATTATGATTATAAGAACAACATCAAGAACAGACTTGATTTGTTTAGCGCTCCATTCACACTAACATCAGGCACTTCTGATACAAATGTGTCCCCCCACCCCTTCTTTCTTAAAGCTCTGTTATCAAACTTGTGACACTATGATAAATATTACGACTATTACATCATGAAAGGTATGGCTTTGGACAGTGATGATCCGAGACATCCGTCATCCGCCCACTATGGACTAATGGCTCCTGTGTGTTTGTTATTATTGCCTTTCCTGTGTTATGTACAATCCTCCGACTGCTACGGTTGTGATTTAGGGCTGTACAAAATTGAATTAAACGTACATTGGTTTGGGGGATTTCTCCTGTCCAATGCCATTCTTTACACCGGGACGAATGCACCACTCCTACCTCTAGATGGCGGTGGTTCAGTCTTTAAGACCATTTCCACGAGCATTATACCCATTTCCAAATATACGTTCTACTGCTGGTGATTCCACATTCTCTAGATTATTAAGGACCTGAATGAACAGAAAACATGCAACATTGGCTGCTCTTTAACTTGTTTAAGAGCAGGTATGTGCGATAATGTGTGTTTATGTTGTTGTGCAGAGACATGGATCTAAAAGCAGCCTCTCTTTACTGAAAGGAGTGTGTGGAGGCGGTAATTCTGTTTGTGCAAGAAGCCTATGTGACTAATGTGCCACTGGTGTGATGGATGGCACAAGAGCTATGCCTTAAAGAAGCTGGGACTGATCAGAGATAGACACTGGTTTTATACCTTTTTATAATATCGGCTAATGGCTTTACCTTGGCTTTACCTTCCACCCAGCTGATCTGCTACAATGGCATGCTAAACCTCATTTTAGAGCCAAGATTCTCAGGGAAACATAGCTTATTATTAACAATAACAACAATAATAATGTCTATTTATTATAATTCGTGTTCACATCTAAGCCTAATCGTACATTTTCAGAAAAAACCCTACCAATAAAAATATACATACCCATGTTTAATAGAAGTAATCATTTTAAAATAGACATAATGGACCTTTTATCACAGACCAGGAGTTGTTTTTGGATCTGTCCACACGAATATCAGGATCTTCTGGCTTAAACATATAACTCCGCCCCTTTTGTCCAAAAGCTCCTGTCTTATAGAAATTAATTGACAACCCCGCTCCCATCTCTGTGTGGAGTGAGAGGACAAATGCCCAAAAATAACAATTGCAAACCGCTTTGTGACTCTGGTTTGTGAAAGGCGGTATATAAATAAAGATTACTTACTTACTTACTTACTTCTTTCAACAATAAAATAAGAATTCTACACCTCCCTCTGGTGGTTGTATAGGGATAGGGCAGTCCTTTTTATCATAGCATTATTTTCCCGTGATACTTTCAATTTCAATTCTAAAGCATGGCATGACAGAATAAAGAGTCTCATTATTATTTTTAATGGACCAAAATAATGCGTAATATTTATTCTTTAAAACATCCCCATAAGGCAGTCAAATATTGCACATATTTTACCAGTCTGTGGTAGCTAGCGCCGTGTTCTTTGGGGTCGCGTGTTGGGGCGGCAGTCTGACCTCGAGAGACAGTAACTTCCTCGACAGGCGGATCAGGAAATGTGTCTCTGTGATGGGGAGAAGTGTGGACTCTGTGGGAGCTGTGCTGGAGAGAAGGATGAGGGCTCTAATGCAGGGCATCCTGGGTAACTCCAGGCACCCTCTGCATGACACTATGGCCGCTCAGAGGAGTAATCAAAGAAACAGGCTCCTATCACTACGCTGCCGAACGGAGCGATTCAAGAGATCCTTTGTTCCTTCGGCTGTCAGACTGTACAACAAACCTGGATGAGTCTTCCGCTGCTGGACACCTGAATTTCTCTTACGGGGGAATAAAGTATCTATCTATCATAATGACAGAAGTGAATACACTAAAATAACAAATTAATAATAATCACAAATGGAGGTTATCTTTGTGTTCATGTCCTTTTTTCCTTCTTTAAAATGAACTAATGACATTAAAGACATTATGTAATAGCTTATAAAATGGTCATTTTTCCTTATTTGTAGTTCATTAGCATTAGCGCTAACCCAGCTTGCAGTATTTGTGGCTATTTACATTGAAAACCAGTCAAACGCTGCTTTTGTACAAATACAATGCTCTGCTGTCTAAATTATGTTACTTGTGACATTAGTGTGGATGCAGCTAAAATTATCCCCAGGTCTTTTTTTGTTGTTTTTTTGTTTGTTTAATGGTTTAAAACTGAAAACAGCCAGTTTAGCAGAATCCGTGTCCTTATCCAACAGACAAAGGTCCAGTGGGTGAAGGACTCCTCTGAATGGCTTATGCTCATTTATTTTCTATACATTAAAAGCTTCTATATTTAGCTCTGCTCTTGTGTTTTGGTTCAAATACACACACACACACACACGCACACACGCACACACACACACACATGCACAAACACCTGAGACTCCTTTGTGCAGGAATTGGATTTGAGCATAATCAAATCAACACCACTCCAGTAGTGAGTTAGTGTTTGTGTAACATGGAGCCAACAACGACATGGACACACTACTGGACTTGTCAAAAATAATCTTAAATCAGATGTTAAGTAATACAAAAAATCATATTGAAACTCTATTTTGAGCAAGTATGGATAGTCAATATATAGAAAATTAAATTAAATATAATCTTTTGGCAGCATGAATAAACGTCGTCAATTGCCCTAAACCTGTTTGTTTTTTTAACCCCCGCCCCTTCTGATCATTATAATTATTGTTATTTTTTAGATCCTTTAAACCCGTTTATGGCTCTATCAACAGTCATGAAAGTTGTGTCAATATAAAGTATAAGCACCACTGCACACGCCATATGAAACCATTAAAGGCTCATTGGACTCTCCACAACAACGACAATAGAAAAGTTGTGTGTGTGTGTGTGAGTGTGTTTGTGTGTGTGTGTGTGCGTTCTCAGTCGCTAATGGGTTTGCAGAGAAAGCGATGAGTCACAAAAGCATCACAAGTCAAAGTCTCCACAGAACATTTATGGACTGGTAAAAAGGAAACGTGGAAAGACACATTAGCAGACACTTTGTAGAAAGTTGTAGTCTTTCTTGGAATCATACAAATTATTATTGTGTTAAAATGTTTCGTCCAACATAAAGTGTCTGTTTGATGTCTGACTTTATTACAACATTGTTTTGTGTTTAAAATATGACCCCAGCTTTATTCCAAGACCCAGTGCAGATTCCTATGTGTTATTTGACAAAGCAATTATTCTGCTTTGACCGGCGTTGACATCTCTCTCAGCTGCTAACTCCTCCCTCTCTCCCCTCAGTGGCGGTGCAGACCAACCTCGCGCCCCCAAAGAAGAAGGCCCCGGCCGGAGCGGTGCAGTCCAATCTGGTCCGGGCCAGTGTGCAGACTATGCAGAACCCCATGAATGTTGATCCAAAAGCCAACGGACACTCCCCACTGCCCCGGCTCTCCATCTCCTCCCGCTCAGCCTCCGTGGTGACCAGCCTGGACACACAGGTATATGTGGACGCAGATTCAGTTGACCTTGATCAGAAGTCTCACTGGCGTGTATTTATCTATATAACTATCTATGACAACTTCGAGTCTTTTGTTGTAGTTGTGGTTGAGGATGAGGTCCTTAAAAATCTGACGGTAAAAGCCAAGAAGACAACGTTTAAAATAGGCTCTTCTCATTATTTTATTTGGGTTAGCCTCTGCTACAAACATGGAAATGACGCACCCCATTTTCTAATACAAAAACGATTACAACTTGATTATTCAAGTCAAATAATGAACACAAATATTTTAATATTACAAACTAAATATTATTAATTTAACATACAATAATTATATAAAAAAAATATATTTTGATGACCTCTCGCGGCCCCCCTGCAATACCCTTGGCCCGGACCCCACTTTGGGAGACACTGCAATAGAAAAATCAGCCACATCTCAGCTTTTCTGATAGTGTCATCTGTAAAAGCCTTCATACCAACACCAGTATTAACTGCTCTCCGCTGTCCCAGGACCCAGCCGCCGGCCTGCACTCCGTCATGAAGTGGAAGACCGTACTGGCCGTGTTCGTGGTGGTGCTGGTGTACCTGGTGTGCGGGGGTCTGACCTTCAGCGTACTGGAGGAGCCCCACGAGAGCCAGCAGAAGATCCTCATCACCCACACCAAGAGAGACTTCCTGGAGACGCACCAGTGTGTGAGCCGCCACGAGCTGGAGGACCTCCTCAAGGTGAGCGTGGGTGGAGCTACCACTGTTTGTACCCTTCATGTATTCATGGCATCGCCTTGATTAAAGCTGAGTTTAAAGAGTATGTTAAAGAGTATGTTACTTTTCTTGTAATTAATACATGTTGTTTGTCCCAACAAAGTTGCTTGCGTCAGCTTTAAGATAAGTTTATTTCAATCTGGAAAACCTCAGGTAAAGAATGTATTCAAACATTTGCATGAAGTAAATTGGTTGCTGCTGGATTGTCGCCGGAGTCGTATTGTAGATAATTATATTTGTTGACACTACAGCCCTCGTCATCAGAGTTAGCCTGGCAACATGAATTGTAAAACTATTTTGGGTCTGCTCTGGGCTATAAAATACACAGCAGCATTTGTTCCATGTATGGAATTTTTTGACACAATATAAACAAATGTTAGTATATGAAAAATATATTAGCTCTCGTTTTGATGTACATGTATCCTTAGCTGCTATAGTTCCAGGTGACGAAATAAAACAGAGCAGCAGAGTCAAGTTCAAACATTAATTGATGAAATATGTTGGGGTCAGGGAGTGGGAGGAGACATTAGATAAAATGTGATTGATTGATTGATTTACAAATAAAATGTATTACTGGATTCCAAAGGGTCTATGGTTTACAATGAGGCACAGTATGACTATATTGGTGAAGCTGAAGTTGGCTGAATGACACTGTGGAAGTGCCTCAATGGCTAGTTTGTGTTTGTTTTGAGTTCCTTTTGCTCCGGCTTCATTTTCTTGATATTTTGGAGCTGAACCAGAACGGATTACTTTACTATCGCATTCGCCGCCATTACCAAACTACAACCAGCAAATTCAGCGCAAACTCTTGATATCACCGACACCAACCGCCTCCCTCGCTCGCTGAATGGTTGGATGGGATACAGCCGAGGTAGCCGCAGCCACTTAGATCAGACCCAGACGTACGTATAGGGAAACAATAATTGAGCAGAGTTTATGGATGGCCAGGCTATGAAAATGTAATAAGAAACTTCTCTATTTGTAAATGCAGGCAGCAGTCTGTAAAAGCTGGCGGTTGGGCTGGACCCGCGCAGCCACAGTTTTGAAGAGAATGTTGTAATCCCACGCCACAACCACATGATGGCGATCTCACAGGAGTTGCCTGGGACACCAAAGCAGTCCCATTTACGCTGCTACTTTCTCCTCTTCAGAACAAAAACAGTGATCCAAGCTGTTTGAGCTCATTAAATGTGTATCTAGGCGTAAGTTTATGTCACAGTTCCACGGACTCATTTTTTGATAACAAATTTCAACTGTGATGCTGTGAATAAAGACTCTGGTTGGGAAGATAGTTATTATTAAAGTGTATTCAGCACAAGCAGCAAAACCATAAGTGATAAATATCTGAGACCAAACATGAACTATTTACAAGTGCAGGACGAATGCAACAGACGCGATAAGCTACAAATGCAGATTCAAACAAATACTGTAAATGTTCGATATGCTAGACCACGGCCTTCTCATTTATCGGGCTCTGAGCCATGAGCCCAAACTGCTTTTCCTTCGGTCATCTGCAAAGCTCGAAGCAATCTGCTCCCAAGTGCCTCGTCCATGTTCCCCGCAGCCGCCACATGCTTCCATCTAAAGCGTAATCACAGTGGGCCTTCTCTGCGCTGTCGGCTGCGTAGTTAGAAAAATTCGTAGATGCACAAGTGGTAGCTTGGGTTTATCCTTGCGTTGGTCATGTGACATCAGGTGACATCACGAGGGACAGCGCAAGCTCAGTATAGTATACACAGGGCTTAAGTGTTCCATGCAGCTAAAGTTGATTGTTGATACAAAACAGTACAGTACAATTTATTCTTGTATAGCCCTAAATCACAACAGCAGTCATCTCAGAGGACTTAACAAAACCATTGAAATCACCAACACAGATCAGAGAATAAACTGTTGATGAGCTTGAAGTGAAGGTGGAAACATGAAAACGGAGAATATCAAGTCTTTCAGAATAAAATCTACTGTATAAACCTATGGCCTCCAAGATTCTTAGTTCAGGCGTTATGCATGTTGCAGAACTTAATCCATCCATCCATCGTCAGGAGCTATGATCTTTCAAGGGAAAGTCTTGCCCAAGGACACATTGACAGCAGACATCAGTGGGAGTTGTGAAGTAGTCTTGTAGTGGAATTGAACCAACACCCTTCAGGCCCAAAGGCCAATGCTCTACCACTGTCTCCCCCAGAGGTTGTTGTAGAACTTATATTTCCTTAACCTCCTAAGACCCGAGCACTTTTTTGCAATGCATTTTTTATTTATCTTGGCTAATTGGGCATATTGGGGCCAGATAAGAATATATACTAAGCATCATCTCTTGACATGATGTAAATTTTGAGAAAAATGCTGTCCACATATGTGGACGCTCGGTCTGAATTTCCATAAAAAAGGCAATTAAGTAACGACTGTGTAATAAAGTGCAAAACGCTTTATTTCGACACAAACATTTGATAAATGAACAATATTGAACAAGGAACATATCTCAGTGCAAAAACAGCAAAAAGAGTACTCGGATGATCCTGGGCGCTATTTGTCTGGGGATTCATGCCCCTGGTAGGGTCTCCCATGGCAGACAGGTCTCAGGTGACGAATCAGACGAAGCGCAGTACAAAGCCAACATAAATAGCATGATATTAAGAACCGTGACGTCGCCCGGCATGGCACAGGGGTTGCAGAGGCAAAAACCCGGGACTGGGAGGAGTTTGGAGAGTCCATGGAGTATGACTATGGGTCGGCCTTAATAAATTGAAGATATTCTGGCAAACCGTCCGGCGCCTCAGGAGGGGGAAGCAGTTCTTTGCCAACACCGTGGACGGTGTCGGGCAAAGAGCTGTTGACCTCCACTGGGGATCTTGTCGGGCGGTGGAAGTAATACTTCAAGGTTCTCCTCAATCCCCCCGTCATGTCCTCCAGAACGGAGGCAGAGGTTGAGGATGTTGGGGCAGATACCTCCATCTCCCTGGCAGAGGTCACCAAGATCCTCCTTGGTGGCAAGGCTCTGGGAGTGGATGAGATCCGCAAAGACTATCTAAAGTCTACTGTAGGACTGTCTTGGCTGACATGTCTCTGCAACATCGCGAGGAGATCGTGGGCAGACCGGGATGGTGGTCCCTCTCTACAAGAAGGGGGACCAGAAGGGTGTGTTCCAATTATTGTGGGATCACACTCCTCAGCCTTCCCGGTAAGGTCCACTCCAAGGTACTGGAGAGGAGGCTACGGCCGATGGTCGAATCTCGGATTCAGGAGGAGCAGTGTGGTTTTCATCCCGGCCACGGAACACTGGACCAGCTCTATACTCTCCATCGGTTCGTTGAGTGTTCATGGGAGTTCGCCCCCAACCGGTCCACATGTGTTTGTGGATTTGGAGATGGTGTTCGACCGTGTTCTCCGGGATGTCCTTTGGGGGGTTCTCCAGGAGTACGGGGTATTCTGCCTTAGGGCCTTACGGGCCCTGTATGACCGGAGCCAGAGCTGCGTTCGCATCAGCAGTAAGTCAGACCATGTTGACCTCGGCCAGGGCTGCCCTTTGTCACCGGTTCTGTTTACTGTGTTTATGGACAGAATTTCTAGATGCAGAAGGGGGTCCGGTTCGGGGACCACAGGATTTCATCTCCGCTTTTTGCAGACAATGTTGTCCTGTTGGCTCCGAGGTGCCTTGCCCTCTCCAGGTTGGCGGAGAGGTCCTTCCTCAAGGAGTTCAAGTATCTCGGGGTCTTGTTCACGAGTGAGGGAAGGATGGAGCGTGAGATTGACAGGCGGATCGGTGCAGTGATGCGGTCGCGGTGAAGCTGAGCCGAAAGGCCTTGGGCTCCCCCCTGACAAACTGGAGTAAGTGTGTGTGGATAGGGAAGTCTGGGCATCTCTGCGACCCGGCAACGGATGAAGCGGAAGAAAATAGATGGATGGATGGATTTAACTCATAGGAAATAGACTAAATCAAAGAGCAAGTAAGCACTAATTTTGGAATTATATAGTATGCTGGAAGCACACTGGCTTGATTCAACAGGTGGCCCTTTTAGTTGATGGTGACATAGAAAAACTTGACAATAATAGCAAAAAATTCCATCGAACACAGGTGCATTCCACATGCGATTAGAACAATCTTCAACAAAAGTAAGTCCTTCTGTCCACATATGTGGACATCATGTTTAGTAGTCCAGACAATTGTTTTTAAATTGTAATTATTGTAAAATTTACATGCCATGACAAACTTACATCACTTATAAAACTATCTGAACAAGAAAATTCTTTGAAATCGGATTGGAATTTTTACTTGGTGGATTTTTTGGTTGGGAACTTGCATGTGAACTTTCCTGTGCGCGGTCAGCCATTTTGTTTTGTGTTAGCTTGTGCTGTAATTCCTCCAACACTGCTAGAGGGCAGTGTAGGTATTGCTGTATGTGGACCCCAGGCCCCAATAAATCAGGATGAAGTATTATGTTTGTACAGCCCAAGATGTGATGTCCACACATGTGGATGGCAGGTCTTAGGAGGTCAATGATGTGTTTTCTTTGGACATAATCTGGTCCATTTTAGCTGCAGACTAATGCTAAGGGGAGTCACTATAAAAACATATTATTGTTGAAAAACATGATGGTACAGTTTTCCTCAGTCAGAAATATATTTTTAATTTAAAATGAAACATTGAAGTTTACTGACATTATTCTGCTGTTTATTTGAGTAGTGTATATCAGGTCGATAGAATACTTATATTTGACTTTTCCCAGTCGCTGTGACAGTGGACTCCCCTTACATACGCTCCTCTTTTGGACTGCTAAATTTACTCTGCAAACCAACATTCTACTATTTCATTCTGCGCCAGATAATTTTCCTTGAGCTAAAGATTTTAAATGAAATATCAGTGAACGTGCTGCTATTACACAGGAAGAATATGATATCCACATGAGCTCGAGTGACTTTGAATAGATTTAAAAGCTTGTGTTACGTTAATATGTTTTGTGTATTGGTAC